AGCCCAGCTCCAGAAGAGGATGAGTATGTAAATGGGTTATTATGCTGAGGAGGTCTGCAAATCATTTCCTGTGGGCTGACTATTTATCAGATCCCCTTGAGGTTTAGACGCTCCCCTCGCAAACTTGTCTGCTTATGTGTGTGTGGGTGTGTGAGTGTTTGTGTGTGTGTGTGTTTAAGGAAAATAAGAGAGCTAAAAAAAGATTAAACAAGTTTGTTTTCCCTGCATCTTAAGGATAAAAAAGCTGATAATTTGCATTTTTCACCACCTTCACCACCAGAAGAAGCATAATAAAAAGTGTGAGGGCTTTAATCTGAAAGTGACAAACCAGTCGAATCAATTTCAGTGTGACTGCCACACAAAACAATGAAAACACTGAATGCATGTGTGCAGTGTGAGTCTCTGGGTGCATGTGAGTTCACTGCATGTGTGTCTCTCTACCTTCCATACACAGACCTGCTTGCTGGGTGGTGACACTGCTGGCGAGCAAACTGAAAACTGCAAACGACAAAAGCTGGAACAACAGGAAGATAATTCAGATTTGATTGGTTTCACGTGTTCTTCATAAACAACAAAGTTTTCCTGTGCCTCCAGTGTGTTTTCCTGCAAACATGGAATCCATTTGTCCCCCGTCTTCATGCCCTGTAGTTGCAACAGGCTCTTACGTAGCAACACACACACACACACACAGAATGAAATGAAAGCAGGCACACAGAGCGAGCCCACCACTGTGGCACTGGGATCTTTTGATATACAGTCAGGAACTTATTTTGAAAACAGCCACTTTTAGCTGCTAAAAATAATCTCGAGGGACTTGGAGACAAAAATGTGAATGAGGCTCGCCAGATCTGCCTCCCCCGTCAAACTAAGTGTCCCGACAGAAGCTTGCGTCCTTTAATGTCATTGTAGTGAAACGTTTTCCTCAAATAAAGCCAAATCCACACATGCATAGGGCATTTAAAGGGTTGGTCTACTCAAATACAAGAAACATATTTTCTCTTTTTACCTTAAACCATGGAGAAAGTTTGGGTTTTGAGATATTTGTCTCTGAGATTTCTATACAATGGAAGTAAATGGAGTTTTGTTTGTGGTACTAACATTTAAATAAACATTGCAAGACATTTAATAGCAACATATTTTTTCTAGAAAGTGTCTCTGGTAATCCACACAACACTTTGTCACCAGTTTGACCCCTAACCTGGAGGTCGGGACCCCTACGAAGGGTCCGGAGATAATCATCCAGGTAAAAAAAGCTTTTAAAAAGCTATATTTTTTTTATTTTTCTCCAATCTTTGTTTCTTTTTGTGAAAACTATACAGACTGGCATCTTTGGTCCTCAAATTAAAGAATCTAACAATGAGATAATCATTCTTTGACAGAACTGCATGCAACCTAGCAAGAGGTCACAATTGCAGATTCAAAAGCAAAACAGTTGGTAACATCTGTCTGAGAGAGTAGTGAGTGACTTGGAGTAAGTAAGAACATGTATTTTTGTTATCTGGGTAAACCAGCCATTCATTGTAAGTTCAGTTACATAACAAAACTCTGTACAAATATAAAAATCCCCCAAAATACATCTGAATTCCTCACAGCTAAAAAAAATGTACTTAAATAAGTCAGTAGGACAAGACATTAGAAACGAATGCTGGGCAGCCAAACATTTTTCAAACTTTACTTTACAAAGACAGCAGTTATGTCAGGTTATATCGTGGAAGGATGTGAAGGTAAAAACACATCAACTATATAATGGTGCATGTATAAATACAGAATATACAACATATGAAACAGTCAGACAGCATGCAGTAAGATTATTTTAGCTGCATATGGAAGAAAAAGGGAAATGGTATGTTTAGAGGATAATAAATGAATACTTCTGTGCATGCTAATTGATGCTGAACAATTGCTGAAAGAAAACTGACTAATTCTTTTCTACCCTGTCAGACATACAGTTGTAGCTTTTTGTCAGTCACAACAAAGCTTGTTGAGTGCAGTTTTATAACAGAATATCCTCACACAATGAGCTCAAGTTACAGTCCAAACAACTTCAGCTGTTTGTGAGTTGCACAGACCAAGCCTTCTCAGTCTTATTAGCGTGCGCCATATGGCAGTGTGGTGGCGTAACAATGCAAACACAATGGCCTGGTCCACTCAATGCCAGCATGCAGAGCAAGGTCAGTGCTAATTACTCTAGTCTAATCATGATTTCCAGGGATTATCTGACCCTTTGGTATTTTTGATTTCAAAAGGAAAATGCCATCTCAGATGTAGTTTCCAAATCCATCCACAAATGTTTAGCTGGCAGCACATGTGGTTTAGTGAGGGGGCCTCCAGCTCAGGCCTCCTGCACAATCAAACCACTTTAGTGGCTCACAATACACGCTCATCCTGGAAAACACGTGACAAAAAAATACAGACTGCGAGTAAGAGTTGGTCCAGTCCAGCAGAGAGGAATAAATAAAGAAAAACACCTGTTGCCTTCAGAGGGAGCTTTGATGTTGAAGACTAAACTCATAAACTCTGTCCATTTTTTAATTCACAGAGTTCATTTATCCACCTCGTTATAGAACTCATCATGCATTAGGACATATTGCCAAATCATTTCAACAAGCACAGTTTTTTTGGACTTAATTGTAAATAATTGAGTGTTGCTTCAGTTTTTCTTTAAAGGATCTCCAGCTGGAAATAATAAAGTGGTTTCCCCTATTATTAACCACACAATTACTGATAATAATCTATTCATAACCTTAAAAATCATATCAGGACTCACTCTCTCCTGGGATTTTGTGGGCGAATATTTCCACTTTTATTCCCCCTCCTTCTCTTTTATTTCGGAGTTGTTATCGTTCAGCATGTTCCGTAATACTTTCATAAATCGTCTCCAATGCTCCAGAATGCTGAAATAATGGGCCTTGTCGGCCACCCGCATTTTACTGTGCTGTAAAAATAATGAAAGTCATATTGCGCTGCGGTTTCAAATCTGCAGGCAAACGGCACAAGTTTGAAGGAGGTCCTGAGATGTTTTCTAAATTGCTATGAATTTTCAGTTTTCGACGTTTTTGGGAAAGCTGTTTGGAGTGCGCGTGTTTTTTTGGAGCGCAGCCGACAGTTGATTTAGGGGGATTTGAGCAAGTGTTGGGGGATATAAGATATTTTTAGTTATCGAGTCAATATTTACCGAGCTGAGTACAGTGACATGTCACGTCTCATCCAAATAAAAAGAAGATTAACTCCATTTGAAACAGTTCAACTTCTGGCTGCTGAGGTTCAGTGTGTGATTCACACAGCAACGCACCAACCAGCCCATCATACAAAACACCGTCCTGTGTTAAAGTAAAAATGTAGCCCCTTTGCCTTTCACGGTAAATATTTGATTTTCAATCTACACTTCTATCATTTTGAGAGCAGACTTTTTTTTAGAGGAGCTGTCCTGCCAGGTATCACTAGAAGGTTGGAATCAAATAGGCCTAAATAAATAAATAAACGTTTCCCTAAAAGCTCCTAATTCAATCACAAGTGGGCTAAATGAATACATCATTTAATTTAATCAAATAATTTATCAATAAATTCATAAACATAAATAGTGATTCGTTGATGTCCTTTTTTATGTTCATGTGTTCACTGTTTATGCTCCGGTTAACACTGGCTCTATAATATAATAATGTAATGCTTAATATAGTCTGTGCTGCATCTTTACAGACATTATTTATCATTTTGCATAATTTATTATGGATTTTCTGAAATGTGCGTGTCCAATTAAGACTGCCATCCATAGACCATTACTTCAGAAAAAAGAAAACAGCAATTAGTTAATAATTAATTATTAACAAAGCTTGTTTTAGGGTAGGCGACTTTACTTGTGTGGCATCTTTCAAAAACATGAAAAGAGTAAAATACGCATACAAATAAGAGTTAACAAAAGTAAACAAAAATGGAAAATGAAAATAAGCAGAAGTTGAATAAAACAGGAGAATAGAAGTTAGGGCGCACGCAGCCGCAGTGCGGTGCACGATGAACAGTCCCACATTTAATCCAATAAACCGATAGATGGAATTTTTAAGCCTTGATTGAAAAGAACTCATGTTTTATTTATTGCCAACCACATATTTATTTTATTCATTTTTTTGTAATTATTATGATCAATATGATATATTTATACTATAGGCAGTAAAACCACCTGACATGACCCGGTGAGTGAAGGTGTATTGATTTCCTCAGTGTTTCTGCCCCCGTGTGGTGCAGTGACTCTTGTGTTTATCCTACAGACACAACCAACTTCCTCAGTAAACTACACTTACTTGGATGATCCTGCAGGAAAAATCAAAACCACAGTGTAGAAACACTCTGTTACAAGTAGTGTTACAAGGCATACAAGTTATGCATTCAACATTCTACTCAAGTAAAAGTACAAAAGTATCAGGATCAAACTAGAGCCTATAGCCAAAAGTAAAAGTACTCACCATGTAGTTAGTAGTTAGTTATGATTATTGATGCATGTGTTAATCACTTTATTGTTGCAGCTTGTAAAGGTGGAGCTAGCTTAGTCTTAGTCTTAACTTATAATAATACATCATATTTTATTTGTTGATTATATTATATATTATTTATCTAAATATGCAAAGTAACTAAAGTTATTTAATACATGTAGTTGAGTAAAAAGTGCAATATTTGCCTTTGAAATGTAATGGAATAGAAGTATAAAGTAGCAGAATATGTAAATACTCAAGTAAAGTGCAAGTATCACAAAATTGTTCTTAAGTGAGTAAATAAGTTATGTTCCACAACTAGTAGTAATATTAGTATAGTATAGTATGTTTATTGCCATTCTAAACTCACATTGAGGTGATCATCCTTTTTCATATCTTTAAACAAAACAAACAATATGAGAAATGCTGACAATATGCAAACAATTACAACTAAATGTTAAATGACTTTTTCCACTTTTGATGTTAATTTTCTCCCAGCATAAAAAAAAGAAAAAATTCAAAGTATCTCTGGTAAATTCTCCCCATGTTTGTTTCAGGCTATAGTCTACATTTCCTCTGCCAACATTTAATGGGCATGTACAGTGGTTTGTGCAGCTATTGAGAGACAACAAGCACTGGATAAATGTGTGTGTTTTTTATGCTGAATATAAATTTAGTATCTCTTCCAAAACCTTAGAGCCCTCAGATAGAGCTGAGTTTGTCCATAAATCTCCATTTTAATGAGGTTTTCTTCCAGGGAGCCTCATCTTGGTGGATTTTGTGACTTCATACATAATTATTGTGGTAACTCTACATGATAACAGCTGTGAGAGGAAAGTGAAGCCTAGCTAAGTTTCTTTTGCCTTGCTTTGGAATGAAATACCAGGGAAGTTTTGTTCTGCAGGACATCAAATCACTTTGACATATCATCTTTGAACATATCAACAAGAAAGCCATTAAATTCACACGTTTCAGGGGGCATTTACGTCAGATTGCGTTTGCTGAAGGAAGCAATGTCTTCGTATGCAGGTGGATGTGAGCAGGTAGAGCTGCTGTCATCAGCACGTCCTCTTTCATCCTCCGTCTTCTCAATCCTGCAAGGAATCAAACATGCCTCAAGCAGACTGGATTTAAAAGAGGAGTTGCATGGCTGATATCCAAATGTTTACAGGGCCAATTGGTTCTGCTTAAAGCAAATGTTAGGAAGCCGATTGCCCTTTAAAAGAAAACACTAAGGTTGAGCAATTCTTCTATTTGGCATTAACCACTGGAAACATACTGAAACAGGTCAGAAGTTGTGACAACATAAGTGAGAGCTGGTGAGCAGAGCATGTGTTCATATGATCGGGGCAGCAGTTTATAGTTATCCTAGGTTAACTGTATTATTCCTGCTGTCTGTTTTTATTAAAGTGAATTACTTTCCTGGAAACCTGCTGGGAGTAATCGTCTAAAAACAATAAAAGAAAGTGAAAACTTGTAACTTTCCACTAATGGCATGCAGCTTTGTGTTTAGCAGGATGTCTGTCCAAGGATATTTGATTGGATTTCAAATAAATGAGATCCTGCAATTAGTGGAAAGAAACTTTTTTTTATGACAATACATAATGTTATGTTTCCCTCAGCACTTAGGAACAGGTGGGAAAATATGATGGACCAAAAATTCACGCCACAACTAGCTTTTTTTTCACAAATCACATATACACTGCGAAATGTATTTGATATGATGTTATACTGTTGATTCTGGCCGTCGTTTGATGATACGGCTGAGCTAGAAAGACTGCAGTGAACGTCAACACAGCAAATGGTGATTAAATGAGAAGATGGGGAGCTATTCTGGTCTTAATTGTCCCCATTTCATTGACGCAAGGCTTATTTTGTTTTATGAAAAGCAAAAAAAATGTGAAACTGATGATCTCTTTTCAACATTTTTCCCTCCAGTTTTATTTTGTTACTTTTTCAGAGTAGCAGTAACCAGAACTTATCTGACACATCAGTCAAAGTACAGTAATTTATGGGAATCAATACCAGTGTGTTGACTATTACAGAGAGATTAATTGCACCATAATTGGCTGAGAAAGTATTGACGGCCAAAAACACTTTGGGCCAAGTGGAAAGTGATCTTGTGGCCAATAAGAAATGAACTCTGGCACACTGTGTCTGTTTTAATGAGCAGTGTAAGAAGCTGTGAGGTTTTAACACACTCAGATCTCATTTAAGATTAACTATCTACCTCTGCCGGTTTTATTTGCGCGAGTGTCTACATGTTGCATGCTGGGTAAAAAGCGAAACTCAACCTCACTGGGATCTAGTGCCTATGGCCTGTGTTTTGTGATGCATCTACAGTACCAGTGTTTTGTAAAACCAGATGTTCGTGAACATATTTAAGTATTGTTAAGTTATGTTAAGTAATTCCATCATTGTTTCTTAGAGGTTTGTGCTTCAAAGGTTTGTGCTTCCAGTCATGTAAGCGCTGTGTTGGAAGAAGTACACCCATCTTTTACTAAAGCAAAAGCAGTGTACACTATGAAAGTAAAAGTCCTGCACTCAAAATGTTAAACGTACAAAAGTATTAGTATAAAAAGATACTTAAAGTACAAAAAGTAAAAGTACTCATTATGGAGAATTGCCCTTTTTAGAATAATAGGATTATAATTAATGCATTAATATGTGCATTGCTTCAATGTTGCTAGTAAAGATGGAGCTACCTACCTGCTTCTTCTGTGGTCTATTTCTGTGCTGTGAGTTGAGCTGTCTTCTTCCGCTATAAAAGCTGCACCAGCCACACATGACACAGCGTCACGTGGACGAATGGTAGCATGAACGGCATTCACGTGCCTGCAGGGCTGGAATTCAATGGCCTGGCATATTTCCTGGGTTCTTAAGTTATACACAGGTGGAATACACAGCATGGTTGTGGCACCCTGTAACATGATCGGCTGATTTATGCCACTTAACGTAAAAGAATGTCCCATTGAGGTTTGCTCCACAGGCATTACCAGCACTTCATCCCGCCGTCTGCACGGCCAGCAGGAGATAATCCTAAACTTGCAGACACTGGTGAGCATAAAAGTGCCTCCGACGGAGATCAGGATGGGGCCCAGCAGTTGGATCCACTCAACAGTGGGGTTGGTTAGGTAGTGTTGCCAGCCCATGGCGGTGAAAGTGATACCCACAAGGGTTAGGAACAATCCAGAGAACAGCAGGGCGGCTCCAGTCTTCTCGCTATCCAGCAAACTGTCTGACTGACGAGGGTTTCGAGCAGGTGTAACCATCTGTGTTGGGTCATCAGGTGGCCCACTGAGGCCTGCTGTAGGATTTCTAGCACTGTTCTCCATTACAGGCCTTTGCACTACCACGTTAATCCAGAAACCTTGGGGTCCTTGATGGCAGATGAGTCCCCTAGGTGTCACATGTGTTTTGACACTCAAATGGAGCCACACTGCCTCTCACAGTAAACAGTAAGTCAAACTGAATAGACACTTAGTAACTCTAAAGACACTTACCAGCCAAGATGAGTTATAGATTAACCTGTACTTGAATTTTGTTGGCCATAAGAACGTAGTGTACCAAAATCAGTCACCATGTTCAGATGACAACTTCTCTTTCACAGCATGTGTGAATGAACTCATGTGGACAACAAAATTACTGTTGAATCATGACAGTGTGCACAAAGTAGTGCTGGGTTGGTGAATTAGGGCAGATTACGGGAGATAAGTCCTTCTGGACAAATACTGGAACAATTTTAATGTGACAAACTAAAGCACTAAATGAATCTACTAAATAAGATATGCAGCATGTAGCAAAGGTTTGAACTGTATTTACGATAGACCCTATATAGTTAATATTTTAGTCAGGTATGAGACATGTCACCAGTCCCCAGAGAGCATACCGTGAGGTACTAAGAACATGACAGAAGGTTTGATATGTTTAATGTCTGTCTGAAAGGCAGAAAAATAAGAAGAAAAGGAGATTCCTGCACGCATAGAATGTGATCCGAAATCCACCTTGTCACATGTCATTTCACACAGACACGTTTCCTATCTGCGCTGTTATGCATAACTTATTAGCGACAGCTCATGCTGCAATAGTTGAACAATCAGCCTAGCATGTTAAGTGAAAGGGCTTAAAAACACATCACGCTATACGTGTTACAGTCAGGGGCTAAATGAGCTGCACACAAAGTGAAACCCACACGTAACATGCAGGCATCCAACTCAAAGAGCCTCGGCACTTCACCACCAGTGTCTGCTAAAGCTGACTCTTCCCTCACCGTATGGCATTCCTTACTCTCCATCGGATTCATTCTCCTTTTATGGTTGTGTGACAAAGCGGAATTTCTATTGGGCTTGCTAATCTATTCCTCCTCTATAGTATCATTTAGTAGTTGTCAGTGTGTCTCCTCCATAGGCAGCAGAGCTGTCTGCAACACAGCTAGACATGTGTGTGTGCGCCCCACAGTAAAAAACACCTATGTTCATACATTTTTAATTCTGAATGCAAACACAGTGACATGCGAACATGTTTTTCAGTTGAATTTCATAGCAGTCTGCTCTTCTCCCAGCGGACAGCTTGCATTTGCCTACATAAAAGCACATCCGCACTGCATTGCATGCCAATCGGAAAGCAGGATCATGAGCCGCTTATGGCAAAGCAAAACAAAAGGTCTTCAGAGGGAAACAACCGACTATCAAACACACAATGCCAGTGGCTGATCAAAACTAACCTGTGTGTGCCTGTGTCTATGAATGTGTGTGTGTGTGTGTGTGTGTGTGTGTATCTTTAAAGTGACTAGTGAAGTGATTCCACATGCCTCCTCTACATAAATGGGTCCTGATTGATTTACTACCAGAAAAAAAGTAAACTTAGCTTACTTATAATTATTAATATTATTTTATTATTAAAAATGAATAATTTAGAATAGGGCATGGCAGAAGGGAAGGCATCTGACACTGAGCCGACAGGAAAAGGGCGAGTATGGGAAAAAAGTTATAGATCTAAGCCTCTGAACACCCACACAGTTTTTCAGTTTATCTTGCTGATTATTAGTCCCCAAGGACTGTATGGGTGTGTATACTGTGATTGGTTGACATCTTCCTGAGTCTTCTGTCAGCTTTGTTACACCCTGTTAGGGCAGGACAAAATATACCTTCACCATTCGTGTGGGGAATTTAGATTTGTGGCCTCATGGAGTTTCATCAACGCTTAAGCCCCACCCACTAAACCTGAGCAGAAGTCTAATCAGCCCATAATAACTGAAAACACCTGTGTGGATGTTCACTTAGAGCCTCTAATTGTATTTGTAGAACTAAAGCCAAAGCTGTCTCATTAAACATTTCTCTGCAGTTTTAAATGCCACCAAAGTCAGTCCTCTTAAGGATGCCCTCAGCATGTTCACTTCATATACATATTGAAAATGATTTTGAGACATTTAATTGCAAAACTTCAGGATGCATTAGATAAGCTTAGGTCAATAAAGCTGCCATCAAATGCACTAATAATTGGCAATTGTGTTTTTAGGACATATTGCTACAGACTAATTAACATTCGTAATGTCCTGTTTTTTTGAAAATGTATTACTTTGTCTTACAGGACGTGGTGTATTTGCCCTATCTTCATTCTTCAAAGGAGATTTTGTACTGGAATACAGAGGAGACATGATAGATGATGCAGAATCTCAATGGAGAAGGTGCATTTATCACTCATCATGTGTTGCATTCATGCTTCATTCAAGTGGAGAGGGAGAACATGGTGGTAAGATTTTACATTACACCTAAACTATACTCCCTATGCTAAACCATAATAATCTCCCTTACACTTAGCTCATAGTTAAAATGAAGGCACTGATTGTGTTGTATACAGTTGAAACCAGAAGTTTACATACACTATAAAAAGACGTATACGCTTTTTTTCTCACTGTCGGACATGAAATCAGACAATCACTTTTCCTGTTTTAGGTCTGTTAGGATTACCAAAATTATTTCTATCTGCTAAATGCCAGAATAATGAGAGAAGGATTTTTTAGACAATTTTTATTACTTTGCTTCAAAGTCAGAAGTTTACATACACTAAGAATACTATGCCTTTAAACAATTTGGGAAAGCCCAGATGATGATGTCATGCCTTTGGAAGCTTCTGATAGGTTTATTGACAACATTTGAGTTAATTAGAGACACACCTGTGGATGTATTTTAAGGCACACCTGAAACACACTGCTTCTTTGTGTAATATCATGGGAAAGTCAAAAGAAATCAGCCAAGATATCAGGAAGAGAATTGTGGACTTGCACAAGTCTGGTTCATCCTTGGGTGTAATTTCCAGATGCCTGAAGGTGCCATGTTCATCTGTTCAAACAATTATACGCAAGTATAAACACCATGGGAATGTCCAGCCATCATACCGCTCAGGAGACGGGGTTCTGTGTCCCAGAGTTGAACGTGCTTTGGTCCAAATGTGTATATCAACCAACAGATGATGCTGCCATCCCTCTATTTCACAGTTGGGATGGTGTTCTCAGGCTTGCAAGCTTCCCCCTTTTCCTCCAAACTTAACGATGGTCATTATGGCCAAACAGTTTGATTTTTTAGTTTCGTCAGACCACAGGACATGTCTCCAAAAACTAAGGTCTTTGTCCCTGTGTGCATTTGCAAACTGTAATCTGGCTTTCCTATGTGTCTTTTGGAGTAATGGCTTCTTCCTGACAGAGTGACCTTTCAGCCCATGTCAGTACAGTACTAGTTTCACTGTGGATAAAGACACACTCTTACCAGCTTCAGCCAGCATCTTCACAAGGTCTTTTGCTTTTGTTCTTGGGTTGATATGCACATTTCGGACCAAAGCACGTTCAACTCTGGGACACAGAACCCGTCTCCTTCCTGAGTGGTATGATGGCTAGACACTGCCATGGTGTTTATACTTGCGTATAATTATTTGAACAGATGAACGTGGCACCTTCAGGCATCTGGAAATTGCACCCAAGGATTAACCAGACTTGTGCAAGTCCACAATTCTCTTCCTGATATCTTGGCTGATTTCTTTAGACTTTCCCATGATGTTACACAAAGAAGCAGTGCGTTTCAGGTGTGCCTTACAATACATCCACAGGTGTGTGTCTCTAATTAACTCAAATGTTGTCATTGTTGAAGCTTCCAAAGACATGACATCATCATCTGGGCTTTCCCAAATTGTTTAAAGGCATAATAATCTTAGTGTATGTAAACTTCTGACTTTGAAGAAAGTAATAAAAAAATCCTTCTCTCATTATTCTGGCATTTAGCAAATAGAAATAATTTTAGTAATCCTAACGGACCTAAAACAGGAAAAGTGATTGTCTAATTTCATGTCAGACAGTGAGGGAAAAAAAAGCATATGTGTCTTTTTATACAGTGTATGTAAACTTTGGTTTCAACTGTACATATGTTATGATGGTAATCTATTGTGAATCAGAAGTCCCTTGCAGTTTTATGTAATGCATCTAGAAAGCTGAGGTAATGGGATATTCAGGACAGATTTTAATGGTTGATGGAGGAGGAGGAAATATTGAATTTGATGATTTTGTCGTTGAAGTTTCGTGCCTGTTGGCTTGAACTTAACTTTAGAAATTTGACATTAAGAACATACATTAGTGTAATTAAATATTATGCAGTGATAACATCGGACTTAAACTTGTTTTTCATATTTTGAAATGTTTGCAGATAATCATGAATGCAGCTGATGCTGTCATTCCTGGGAAAGCCCCCACCATGCTGTCTTGTAGAGACGCAGATGACTGAAACTTTGAGTCCATGAGACACTAATCAACAGGACATCATGTTTAGCACTTAAACTTTACTTCTAGAATATTTCTAACTCACCGTTTGTTGCTTTTTATGCCCTTTAAGCAGGTAAATAAGCTGTTTTTTTAAATGCATCTAGAAACATAATGGTAATAGGATATTCAGGACAGATTTTAATGTTCATAGGGATGTTACTTGATTAAATATCACTCTATTCTGGGACATTCACGACGTCCCCATAGCACATCTTACATCAGTGTATGAATAGAAGTTGTAAAGTCCTGACAACCTAGAGACTTGGTCTAGCAGGCCCCAAGGAACCACGACATGTGTGATATGTCCCCACTAAGCTTGTTTATTCAATATGTGGAAACAGGCGGTTGATGGAGGAGGAGGGAATATGAATTTGATGATTTTGTCGTTGAAGTTTCGTGCCTGTTGGCTTGAATTTAACTTTAGAAATTTGTCACAAGAACATGCATTAGTGTAACTAAACATTATGCAGTGATAACATCAGACTTAAACTGTTTTTCATATTTTGAAATGTTTGCAGATGACCATGAATGCAGCTGATGCTGTCATTCCTGTGGAAAGCTCCCACCATGCTGTCTTGTTAGAGACGCAGATGACTGAAACTTTGAGTCCATGAGACACTAATCAACAGGTACATTCATGTTTAGCACTTAAACTTTACTCCTAGAATATTTCTAACTCACCGTTTGTTGCTTTTTTTATGCCCTTTAAGCAGGTAAATAAGCTGTTTTTTTAAATGCATCTAGAAACATAATGGTAATAGGATATTCAGGACAGATTTTAATGTTCATAGGGATGTTACTTTTTGATAAAATATCCTCTATTCTGGGACATTCACGACGTCCCCATAGCACATCTTACATCATTGTATGAATAGAAACTGTGTGTTAAGTATCTGACAACCTAGAGACTTGGTCTAGCATTGGTCCCCATAAGGAACCACGACATGGTGTGTGATATGTCCCCACTAAGCTTGTTTATTCAATATGTGTGAAAAACAGGCAGAGGTTGATGGAGGAGGAGGGAATATTGAATTTGATGATTTTGTCGTTGAAGTTTCGTGCCTGTTGGCTTGAATTTAACTTTAGAAATTTGTCATTAAGAACATGCATTAGTGTAACTAAATATTATGCAGTGATAACATCAGACTTAAACTTGTTTTTCATATTTTGAAATGTTTGCAGATGACCATGAATGCAGCTGATGCTGTCATTCCTGTGGAAAGCTCCCACCATGCTGTCTTGTTAGAGACGCAGATGATTGAAACTTTGAGTCCATGAGACACTAATCAACAGGTACATTCATGTTTAGCACTTAAACTTTACTCCTAGAATATTTCTAACTCAAAACAAGTTGCTTTTTATGCCCTTTTAAAGCAGGTAAATAAGCTGTTTTTTAAATGCATCTAGAAACATAATGGTAATAGGATATTCAGGACAGATTTTAATGTTCATAGGGATGTTACTTTTGATTAAATATCACTCTATTCTGGGACAGTCACGACGTCCCCATAGCACATCTTACATCAGTGTATGAATAGAAACTGTGGTGAAGTATCTGACAACCTAGAGACTTGGTCTAGCATTGGTCCCCATAAGGAACCACGACATGGTGTGTGATATGTCCCCACTAAGCTTGTTTATTCAATATGTGAAAACAGGCAGAGGTTGATGGAGGAGGAGGGAATATTGAATTTGATGATTTTGTCGTTGAAGTTTCGTGCCTGTTGGCTTGAATTTAACTTTAGAAATTTGTCATTAAGAACATGCATTGAGTGTAACTAAATATTATGCAGTGATAACATCGGACTTAACTTGTTTTTCATATTTTGAAATGTTTGCAGATGACCAAGGAATGCAGCTGATGCTGTCATTCCCGTGGAAAGCTCCCAGCATGCTGTCTTGTTAGAGACGCAGATGACTGGAACTTTGAGTCCATGAGACACTAATCAACAGGTACCATTCATGTTTAGCACTTAAACTTTACTCCTAGAATATTTCTAACTCACCGTTTGTTGCTTTTTATGCCCTTTGAGCAGGTAAATAAGCTGTTTTTTTAAATGCATCTAGAAACATAATGGTAATAGGATATTCAGGACAGATTTTAATGTTCATAGGGATGTTACTTTTGATAAAATATCACTCTATTCTGGGACATTCACGACGTCCCCATAGCACATCTTACATCATTGTATGAATAGAAACTGTGTGTTAAGTATCTGACAACCTAGAGACTTGGTCTAGCATTGGTCCCCTATAAGGAACCACGACATGGTGTGGATATGTCCCCACTAAGCTTGTTTATTCAATAAGTGTGAAAACAGGCAGAGGTTGATGGAGGAGGAGGGAATATTGAATTTGATGATTTTGTCATTGAAGTTCGTGCCTGTGGCTTCGAATTTAACTTTAGAAATTTGTCATTAAGAACATGCATTAGTCTAACTAAATATTATGCAGTGATAACATCGGACTTAAACTTGTTTTTCATATTTTGAAATGTTTGCAGATGACCATGAATGCAGCTGATGCTGTCATTCCTGTGGAAAGCTTCCTGTATGCTGTCTTGTTAGAGACGCAGATGACTGAAACTTAGCCATGAGACACTAATCAACAGGTACATTCATGTTTAGCACCAACCTTACTCCTAGAAATTTCTAACTCACCGTTTGTTGCTTTTGTGCCCTTTAAGCAGGTAAATAAGCTGTTTTTTAAATGCATCTAGAAACATAATGGTAATAGGATATTCAGGACAGATTTGAATGTTCATAGGGATGTTACTTTGTGATAAAATATCACTCATCTGGGACATTCACGACGTCCCCATAGCACATCTTACATCATTGTATGAATAGAAACTGTGTGTTAAGTATCTGACAACCTAGAGACTTGGTCTAGCATTGGTCCCCATAAGGAACCACGACATGGTGTGTGATATGTCCCCACTAAGCTTGTTTATTCAATATGTGGGAAAACAGGCAGAGGTTGATGGAGGAGGAGGGGAATATTGAATTTGATGATTTTGTCGTTGAAGTTTCGTGCCTGCTTGAATTTAACATTAGAAATTTGTCATTAAGAACATGCAGTAGTGTAAATAAATACTGCACATTACATCAAATTGAACACTTGTTTTTCATATTTATGTTTACAATTACAATATTTTAGATGCAGTTATATTTTAAGGCTGTCTTTCAAACGTAAAAAAGTCAATGTTTTGCCTAAACTTCTTTTACAAATCGCAAATGTTGTAAATTTGATTTGTCCTAATTATTCAGATTCATTTTCAAGGTATATTTTTTGTGACAGCACAAACGGTGTGTTTGCAGACAAAGGAATATTATCTATGTTCAGAAGTATAAACATTCACCAAGTCAGACTTCAGTTTCAAAATATTTTCTTGTGTTTAGACTCTTTGCTGTTTTTAGGACCATTTGTTAACATCACTACTCCAAATATTTAAGTGTGCGAGAAAAGTATGATATAACATTTGCAATTAAGTGGTTGATTAACACTGTAGGAATTTTAAACAATTTTAATTGTATTGTCATAATATAGTACACTGGGATTGTGTCCAGTTCCCCAGGATATATGTCTAAGTAACTTCTTTTTTTGTCCTTAGATGAAAGGCACAGATGTTGAAGATCCAAATGAAGTATCCGACTCTATACAAGTTTGTATTGTTGCTTTCAGTTTTGTCTTGAGAGAACGCAAATGAGCAGGACTCAAAAAAAGTTTAAATGTATAATTTAAACGAGAGTTTGACTCTGAACTAAGGAAATTACTTTACTATGAAGTAATGCAGCAACAACACAGACAAACGTGAATACTAGTTTTAGGGTTGTTGAGTATTCTGTGACTGAGAAGTACAATATTCCACAGTTTCTGGGTAGTTGACTGTGGTTAAAAATAAGAACCATGTGAGACGTAACGAAGAAAGCCCTTACAGTGAAATTAAGGTTGAAAAGTTTGATGGTTGAGACAACAATTTAGTAATTCACTACTAAATTCTTGGTACTTAAGGACCCCTGATATCAAGATAAGTTAGAACAATGTCTCTAGTATAAATGATATGTAAATCATTTGATTCCCATTTTATTTGTATAACAAATTGTATGTTTACCACGTTTTCGCTATAAATAAAAACTAAAAAAGGAAATTGGTTCTGGAATAAATAATGTTATTGTGTTATGTACAGTACTTTTGTGCAGTTTGGGTTTACAATGTGGAATTGAGATTCACAACAGTATCCAACCCTACTTAAGACTCCTCTTATATTACCACAAACCACGAGCACAGTAGTTCTTAAAGCTTAAAATACACATTTTCTTTAGTGAAAATATCCTAATGACACACTTTCTGCATTAATTTTGGTGCTGCTAAAGTAGATTATATCATTTGCATTATTGTGGTTTAATTCCTAGTATTTGGTCTGATGCCTGTGGATAGCAGCTTGATAACTTTATGAAAAATCTATTATTAAAGACATAACCTGGTTGGTAGGGGACAGCTCCATTGCAGCTTCATAGCAGTTTACAGTCTGAAGGAATCACAAAGTGGTTATATTATGCACTGCCATTGTTGTAGTGAACGCTTGTGATCAAAAGAAGACAGGCAAATGCAATAATCTGAGGATTATATCACTTAAGCTTGTTGTTTTACCATGGTCCCCATTAATCAATTGGAAATCTGTGTAAATTATGCAAATTATATTTAAATGAGGTCCCCCCACAAACATGTTTACTGGATTTACATGGGTCCCCAGTTAGCATGATGAAAACCTTACTTCATCAATTCAGATATTTGAAGTCGTGTATGAGCTAAGCAACCAATGGTGAGTGTGCCTGATTTTTTTCATACCTCTAGAACCTCTAGAAAGGGTGGTCCCCGCAAGTGATGATCAGAAATTTGGTCCCCATTGCAAATGGTAACCAGTATGTGTGT